TTTCTCCTTCCATGAAGATTCTTTGTTCATCACCATTGCTGAGCTTTCAATGGCCTTCGATTTTAATATCACTCCTCGTCGGCTTTCTTCTGCGCGGATGAGAGAAATGGTTTCATTGAGTGATGATGTTTCCTCTTTGCCGAGAATCTAAACTCTAACTTCGTCAAATTCTGCATTTAGTCCTGCAAGAAAATCATAAACTCTATCTTTTTCAATAAAGTTCTTTAGGATAGCAGCATCTTCCGGACATCTGGTTTCTATGCATCTATAGTGATCCAGTTCTTGCCACAGATTTTGTAGAAGAGTGGCATACTCCGTCACGGTCTTATTCCCCTGCTTTGTGCTTCCAACTTTGACTTTAATTTCAAAGATTTGGGCCGCATCACGAGCTTTGGAGAAGGTTTGTCTGGCAGCATCCCATATGTCCTTTGCAGTCGAAAGGAACATAAATGTGTCGCTAATTTCTAGAGTCATGGATATCCACAACCATGACATGATCATGGAGTCTGCTTCATCCCATGCCCCAAAAGTAGGATCTCTTTGCTTTGGTCCTTCTCCAAAGAGGTGATGTATTTTCCCTTTCCCTTTCAAGTAGGTCTTCACGAATTGAGACCACTTTAGGTAGTTCTTCCCATTTAGACGATAGGAAGGTTGTATGTTTTGGAGATCACCTCATCCTTGGTGCACCATCGACTCCTCGATTTGGTCAATGCTCTGGGAGGAATTGATTTCTGACATGATGATAGTAGTATAGAATATCTATACACTCTTGGATAGCAATGAAGGCTTCCAAAAAAATCCCTTTGATTTTAGTTGTCGGCAATAAAGGCCAATAGATTTTTTTTTTTTTTGAAAAACCTTCCCGGTTTACTAAAATCGGGCCGTCCGACTCTTTAAAAGAGTCGGACCTGGTAGATCAAGGCACGCGCGAAGATGGAATCGAGCAGGCGGACCTGGAGCTCAAGCGGGCGGACCTGGAGCTCGAGCGGGCGGCTTGCTCCTTCGACGATCTTCCCTTCCCGTCGGATCGGGATGCTCGTCGGCTGCTCAGCTACGCTCCTCTTCTTCGACGGTCTTCCCTTCTTATCGGCTTGCTCCTTCGACGATCTTCCCTTCCAGTAGGATTGGGAGACACAGGCGTCTTGGTTCCTTCTTCGGACGCTAAGTTGCTTTACCGAAGAGGAGATCGTCGAAACAGGCGAAGCTTTGCCGGCGTCTTGTGGTCTAAGGTCGGTAGCACGGTTCTCCTTTCTTCCGCGAGGCTTCCGTCGGCAAGACTTTCTTCCGTGAGATCTAGGTTTCGTCTTCAGCCTTAGTCTAATAAGGCTCCGTCTTAGTAGTCTCCGGCTTCCTTCTTCTCGCTCTACTTCTCTTGTGGCTCTGATACCATGTTAAAACGAGAATTTGAGAGGGAAAAGCTTGAATTTTATTAAGCAATCTACTCCCTATTTATAGATCTATACAAAGTGTATTGATAAGGAAATAAATAATTCTATAATAATGAGAATACAATTATTCCTAAATCAATGGAAGGAATTAATGCTATCCAGGTAGTCTTCCCACGGATTACTGTTCACAGCCGTAGATTTCTTTTGCATCGTGAGGTTGAGATTTAACATTACTGGCAAGAGATTGTTTGAGAATGAATCCTAGAGATATTCTCGACTAGACATTCGTTTTTTATAAGCTGAAGTGATTTTTAAATTCATCCACCTTAACAAACTTTCATGGAGAATGGATGGATGTTTATTTTAAGTTATTAGATGATTTTTTTCATTTTGAATATCTTAGGTTTTAGCGATTTTAAAAGTTTTTAAACTCTTATTAAAATCAGAGCCCTTTAATGATAAATTTTGATATTTATGGGGTATTTAAAGAATGGAGAACCCTCTTGTTGATATTAACTTTCAACATGGCCATCATTATGATGATATTATAGTCATTTGAAAATACTTGTGTTTGTAGGAATTTGGCGGCATTTAAAAGGGTAGAGTCCCCTCCGATTGAGATAAACATTGAGCACGGCTATCATCAATGATTGAAGTTTTAGTTATTTGAACTTTGTCAACTCTATTCGATCGCTAATAGAAGTTCGGTTTCAACAATCAATGATTATGTGAACGCAAAAATCGAGAGATTGTATTTTATGATGAGTTTCATTAAAGCCTTTCAAGGTCTAATATGAACTTTACTATTAAATATCCAAGCGAATTTATGGCTAGACATTCGCTTGTTAATTCAAGTCATGTCGACTCCAGTCCTTTCAAGGAGGATAAATTTTGAATATTTGACTCACGCAACACTCTCAGACCTTGAATTCAAGAGTTCATAACAAAGGTTGGAGCACATGCAAGTCTTTCATTTTCTTCAAATATTGCATATATTTTTATGTGCATTTTGCATGACATATTTGCAAGATGACTAATGCCTTTGTTATAATGTGCATGATATATATCATCCTTATATCATAAAGCATTTGTATGATTGACATGTCAAGTTTATGTGATTGGTACATCAGCAGGATTGGCATGATATATTTATATGATTGTCATATTTGCATGAATAGAATCATGCATTTGCATAACTATCATAATATATTCACTAATTGGCATAATGCACTTGCAGGAGTGACATAATGTATTTGTACAATATATATATAATGCATTCGCATAAAGCATCCACATGTTGTTTAGCCTACGCGCATGATTTATTTACATGTTTCAAAATGTTTGTATAACACATTTGTGTTTTGCATAACATGTATATATAATGTATTTATGTGTTGCTTGTATAGTTGCAAAATGCATTTTTGTGGTGGCATAATGCATTCGCGAAGTATAGAATGTATTGCATGTTGTTATAATGCGCTACTATGACACAGTGCATTTTTTGCATGTTAGATGATGTGTTTATATAATGCATTTTGCATATTGCAGAGCATATTTTTACGATGACCTTTCATTAAATATCTCCAAAATTATAAACTCCCTCAAGAGAAGTATGTTGCCCGCCAAATTAAGAAAAGGGCATTATCATTTTTACTAATTAACAATACCATATATCGGTGGTCATTTGATCAAATGTGGTTGTAATGTCTTGCAAATGATGAAGCCCACAAGATAATGATCGAGGTACATACGGCATCGTGCGGCTCAGGCCGTAAAATGAAACTAAAAATTAAAAGACTTGGGTACTAATGATTTTTAATTATTAGTAATTTTTTTAAAAAAGCACGATGATGTCATCAATGCTAAGTACTTGGGGTAGTTTGCATCAACCATCAAATGATTTACATCCAACAATAGCTTATTGGTCTTTTGAAAGCTACGCAGCTGACATTGTTGGGCCTATCGATCCTCCTTCCAAGGATCAAAGGTTTATTCTTGCTACAACTGATTATTTCTCAAAGTCGGCTAAAACATTACCACTAAGAGAAGTCAAAACTCGCCATATATTACAATTTTTAAGGATCATATCATATCTAAATTTGGTGTTCCACATCGAATCATATATGACAATGGTTCTACTTTCAAAAGCACCAAACTTAATCAATTTAATAACAAACATAACATTGATGGAAGTTATAGTATAATATACTACCCTCGAGCTAATGGATTGCCTAAAGCATTCAATAAGTCGGTAATTATAAGGAAGATCTTGAGGGTTTCTATGATATCTAAAATTTCAATGATCTATATTATCTACATGGTCTCTAGGGTCCCTAGTCTACTCAAGTCAATGATGGTGGACATCATGAACCACAAGGGCATTTCCAACAACTTGAGGTCAATTTGGTTGAGGACCACCAAGATTTTTATGACTGTATATCCTAAGAGGCACATTATCAAGCATCTCTTCTATTAAATGATTCCAGGTGCATGGACGAAGTGAAGATCTCCTATGAGATGGATTTCTTATGTGTTCATTAGGCAAGGAAGGAACACCACCACAGGAAGATCCATTGCAAGAATTTTGAGTTTATTCAATTGAAACTTAAGGTTTTCTATTTGGCTCAAACATATTTTTGAGACTTTAATTTTTTTTATCATTTTAGTTTTTACATTATCTACCCTTTGTTCAATTTGTCTAATATGCTCAAATGTCTTTTATATTCACCTCTTAATACATCAAAATTCATGGAAATAAAAATTCAAAAGCATAACTGATATATGTAATGAAGATAATAGGACAATCCTATACGAAATGTAGAATTAATTATTGGTTTCATATGCACATATTTAGATATAAGAAAATCAAATCAGCACAAATCAGAAAAAGAAAAAAATCAATCTATCCTGGATTAATTCATGTGTCAATTACACAAAATCTAAGGTTCTCCCACAACTCCAAAAAAGAAATGTTCAAACTAACTCACAATCAAATTGATATCAAGTTATTCATAGGAAGAAATTTCCTAAGACAATGAATAATGGACGACACTAGACTTGCCAATTTAACAAAAGCAAAATGTCCAACTTAAAATGGAAATGATACGAGAAAAATATTCATTTTACAACTAAGATATAGTTCTCACAAATCTTTTGAAAACCCAATAATCTTGCAATCCTTAACAATAGCAGAACCTACTATTCAGAGAGAGAAAAAAAATATTTCACAGTGTTTGCTGGAAACAGTAAGTTAATAACATGGGCAATGTGCATTACCAAGATAAGAAATTAAAGATCCACTGAAAGTTTCCATCAGAACTTACCTCATACAGAAGGTATTTCATACGTTCACTAATAAGCCTGCTTTCATCTCTCAAAGCTATACTTATGGCTGGATGTAGCCAGTGAGCATTACTGAGCCATGAATCAACAGAAGGATGGCCTGCAGATACATGACACCACCATATGGGTCCTTCAGGACGCTCCCAGTAAGGAGCAACAACACCGGCAACAGTGAAATCATCTTCATCCTCCATCAAGTCTATTTGCTGTGAAGACCATTTAGCATCAACTTGGACAATCTGTACTAGTTCTGAAATCCTTGCCCATCCAATTGGAACCCAATAGTTATCAGCAATTTGGTTCCTATAGTGCACATTTTCATTGTGACAAGGAGAACAAGGACCATCATCAGCTCTTACAGTAGATGGACTATTTAGGTCTATGAGAGAGTGGACTTCCCTTAACGTGTTATCATTCAAGTTTTGAACAGGAGGATGGCTTGAGATAGTTCTTGCTGCTTGTCTCCTTAGATTTTGATCATCACTTCGATGCATTGTTTGAGGCCTAGAACTATGCTTTTCTGTAGTAAGGCTGGATCCTCGAACAAACTCAAAAGCACATATAAGCCCATCAGTCCAAAGGTCGCATACAGGTGCACCCTCTCTACCTGAATGAAACTTTTGAAACTCTTGCTTGCTAGACTTATTACCTGAAGCAGGTTTATGGTTTTCCATGCTAATTTTACTTAATCAATGGAAATCACAGAAATTCTATTTGAGGCTGCTAAGCATACAAGATTCTGAGATGCTTTGGAAGAATTAGTCTGAGGTCCTTCAACTGATAACATGTCGAGGAGTCAGTTCAAATTAAGATAGCAGATTGCAAATCATCATTGAGGGAAAGTGAAAAAAGAATTAAACCATGCTGAAAATCTAGAACATATTCATTGAACCTGCCGCACAAGACGCTTAATAGAAGAAAAAAGGAGGCCAAGTAGTACAGTGCCTGGGATTGAAATTAAGAGCTTGTTTGCTTTAACCCCAAAATGCCCCAAACAGCTTATTTCAATTATAGCTAACCCTAGTTTAACTGGAAGCCTCCCATCAACCCACCTTCATGTTTTTAAAATGTCAGCCCCTCATCACACTAATACATTAATAATAGTCCAAATTAATAAACATTTATGCTTGTTTTTTACCAAATATTTAGTTCTTAACCTGTAGGTATACAAATAGGTTAAATAATTATGGGATTATTATTGGATCATTGTTTGTGAAAAGATATCAAGACCTTACGACGGATACAGACCAAGCACAAAGAAAAGAGGGCAATTAAGATTAAAGATTCTCTTTAAGTAAATTTGCTTACAAAAAAATTTGATTAACCCTTCAGGTAAAGAAGGGCAAGTCAACCTGAGTTAACAAACAATTCTAGGAGAGAGAATCCAACACGGAGGTTTGGATAGAAATTTTCAACTTGGCGAGAACTTCGTGTGGGTTCTAGATTGAGGACAGGCACCCTTGGCGACATATCTTTGCAAAAGCCCTAGTTTGGTGGTGAGTATGTAGGGTGAGTAGCTAAGTTTTGTCAGCGAACAGCCTTGACAAGAAAGTGACATCGTGAGTACATTGGGCGAGTTTAGTAGCTTGGTAAGAAGGGTTGCATTAGTTTCAACTAGTGGGAAACTTATGTCACTCAACATTAAGCAATTCAAGGCCTTAGGCGACTTAAAGCTTGGTGAGTCTAAGTTGTAGGCGATTCAAGCGAGTTCTCAATCAAACACTTATTGAATCCAATTCAAGCACATTTAGTGATTTAATAAACCTAGCCTAAATAAATATTGATATACAATTATCTTAACCACTTAAAAAAATATCAGTCAAATAGGATCGGATATTTAAAAAGGTAATTAGAAGAAAAAGAAGAAACAACTACAATTTAAATGGAGGATAACAAAACAATGTTCTAATGGAAGAAATTCAAGTACATCAAAAATCATGTTTCACTCTAACACAATCAATATTCAAACTAGTATGCACCTTAGTTTCCAAACAACTTAAATGTACAGAAGCTTGATTATGTAATTATAATCAGCAAGTTGGAAAAGAACATTCAAAATTATTTAAATGAAATTGAAAGTGACACAGAATTTGATTAGTGAACACAAGCAAGTCTGTCAAGCAAGCTCTCCAAGGTGACTTGACTGTGAGTTCAATGAGTGAGTTTTGTAGCCCAAAATTAAGAGTTGAGTTAGGTTTAACTCATGGGTGACTTATGACATTAAGATCTAAGCAGCTAGAGACTTTAAGAAACTTCAAGCATGGTGAGTTCCAAGTTTTACGCGGCTCAAGTCAGTTTTCAATCAGCAGGTTCTCTTAATGATTTGGTTATCCTGGCCTAGACAGATACACACCTACTCTTCTCTACTCAAATAGACGGGAGCTCGCTTACATAATTGTAATTAGCAACTTGGAAAAAGAAAAACAGTCCATTCAAAATTATTCTTTTGAAATTGAAAGCGTAAAATTTGATCAGTTAAATAAAGCAAATATATTAAGCAAGCTTTCCCACGGAATAAACAAACTCCTGCTCGCCTCTTAATGAACAAACAAAAAATATCTTTAAAAGCAACAAAATTAAAGTAGAATATATTCAAAATATTACAAAAACGAACTCATGCGCATCATGACATCTAGCACAGGCAAGAAGAGAGACTAACATGTTAAAATGCCCCCCAACACCGCAAAAAAAAAGCCTGCGAGGAGAACCGAATGCATCAAAGTCGGATGAACCATTCCATTAAAAGCTAAAACAAGGGTTTGAAAAGAAAGAAGATGGTGACAAACTCTTCATCTGCTCATCCTCTCTACTGCGCGCTCTACGACAACGCCGAGGACAACGGAAAACATAATCACGGGTCGGAAAAAAAAAAAAAAGGAAAATCGAGATAAGATCAGATTTTTTTATTCCAGTTTTTCGATCCTGCTCTTTTGATTTATCAGAATTATAGAGGACACAAACCCGATCAGAATGCGCTGCCTACGGCCTACCCAATTTCCGCGCAAATAGAGTGAGAGTGAGGCCCATTCGCCGAGGACATGACAAGGTGTTTGCGGAGCCACACCGACTGTAATTCTGAAGCACTTAAATTTCAGTTATCTGAAGGCTGAAAGCCTGAAATGGGTTATCGTACTAGTATTTTTTTATAATGGGTTTACTAAACCCTAATAGTATGGGGAATTTTAGTATGGGGAATTTTTTTTTAATGTGTACATAAACGTTGATACTCTGCATTTTATAAATAAAATTATCATATTTTTAAATAAACAGATGAACTTTTTCATAAAAATTTATGTCGCTTTAAAATAATTTGATAAAATATAATACAATTTTTAAATTTTAAATTTGATAAAATTTTAAATGAACCATTCCACTTCGAATCACTTTTAGTTGTTGAACCAATTGAGAAAATTATCTGAATCGAGGTTGATCACATTATGCATATCTCAATTTTTAAAAATTTGATATTTTTCATATTTCTCCAATTAAATTTCTATTTTCGTTACAAAAAAATATGGATAACTTTGAAATGGTAAAACTTTCACCGCATAACTTTTTGTGTTATAAAGATTAAGATTTGTATATTTTGATTATTTTTTTTAAGTTTTTATGGGGTATTTTGAAATTTGTGCAATTTTTATTGAATAGAAAATAGTCTGAACTTTGAAAAATAGTATTGTAGTATGATTAAAGTCATGAAATGATATTTACACAATCATTGATAATTTTGTTATGTTTTGAAACTATGCATTTTTACTCAATAGCTATTTTAGGAAAAGTATGTTATTAATACAAGTGTTAAGAATAGAAATGAATATATGATTGGGTAATAGCTGGTCACTATTACTTTTATTATAATGTGTAAAAGATAAGATAGGTTGACCCGTTGGTTGAAGATTAATTAACTTATACATGATGGTGGGTTGATCGTATTTCCTTTAACTATTATGGTTGGGTGTTATTCTCTACTGATTCACATGAAATAACGATACAATAATTGAGAGCTATAAAGAGTTATTAATATGCCAACAGGTAAAGAGTGATTATTGATTCCTAACTACTAAAAAATATCATGATAGCCATGACTTCTTTACTTATTTTGTGTTATTACTGAAATGCATGTTATGGATTCATTATTATGATACGGTTTTACTAACTATATTGATATGTTATCATTATATGGATTTATTGTTAATGCATTATTTTACTGCTACAATCATTGAATTTACTAGTACAAATATGGACATCGATATTATTACTGATACTATTGATTCACTATTACTATTATTATTATTGATTCACTATACTGATTACTGGTACTGAGCATTTGATTAAGAGATCAATATGATACTGATAGACTAACTTGATAGTATGAGCACATTGTTATAAGATATTACTTCATTGATCATAGTTCGATAGTTTTTTATCGATGATTTGATTTTACCGCTTTATACGATTGCTTTACTAATTAATAGTACTAATATGGTGACTTTTTTTATTGATTGGGCATTTGTATTATTTTATTGGCTTTTGTACAGTACTGCTTTACTAGCTTAAGTATCGTACTTTTTATTATTTACATATTATACTTCTATTGCATTTGAGTTTTGCTTTTTTTGTATTGATTATTGATCATATGATTATTATTGTTATGAATTGACTCATGATATGTATACTACTATTTTATCATAACTTGACTTTAGTTATAAGATTTTAATGACCTACTAAGTTGTTTAGCACATTATATATGATTTAAATGATTTCATATTATAGAAAAGACGTGGGAGTGTGAGGCTAATCGGGATCTCTCATGTTCATTTTTTTATTTTAGTTATTGTTTTTTAGGAATAAAAGGATATGTTATGATTGTATGATTCATAAGTAATATATATGACTTTTTTTATCAATGAATATATATTCATATGGATGTTTTAATCAATAAAATTTATTTCTAATGATATATAATTTTATTACTAAAAAATAAAATTAGATAGCTCTTGTTATTATCTAATAAAAGATAAAAAAAAGAATTCTTCCAAATTAGATTCTAGGACATTATAAATTTTAATATCATATAATAGTTGTTGGAAGAATTGAATTATTGCTAGAGCTATAAAAATTAATTATGAGTTTGGTAGATTGGGTATATTAAGGTGCATTATTTTGCATACATAATTGATTATACATGTAAATTATTCAGATAAAATTATGCAAATGACCAACTAAAATGGACCTACTATAGCAAGATATACCAAATGCGCAATAAAGTATAGCTCCAATACCATCAAACACTATTATACAGCTAGCAGTGTTCTAGCATATGTAATGGGTGAAACACATAATAAGCCATCTAGGAACAAGGAGGAAGAGGGGGATAGGCATTTGTAGGTGTTTCACAAGTTGAAGCCCCACTATTCAAAGGAGTTGTAGAATCACAGGCTGTAAAAGATTGCTTACTACGGATAGAGAAGATATTTGATAGCATGCAATATCCAAAGAATCAAAAAGTATTATTAGTTGTGTTCTTATTTGAAGGAGAGGTAGAGAGATAGTGGATATGTCAACAGAGAGAGAAATTCCAAGGGAAGACCAATGCTAAAATCACTTGGGATGAATTCGCTATTATGTTTAGAATATGATTTTTACCTATGTTTGTCCGACGACAGATACAATAAGCTTTCATTAAGCTAGAGTAGGGATGAAAACTATGATGCATTATGAAGCCAAATTTATTCCACTTGCTAGATATGCTCCCCATTTGATCCCTACTGTTGAAAAAAGTGTTTTAGGTTTCAACAAAGATTGAACAAGGAGTTGAGACATCTATTAGTGCCCCTATGGATCCAAAAAAATTTTGAGTTAATGGAGCGGGCTAGACTGATAAAGATTGATTTGGCAATAACAATATCCATGTATGATGTGGGATCCATATATAATATAAGTAGGAGGAGTAAAGAGAAATAAAGCGAGGATAAAGATAGAGTGAGTGATAAGAAAAGCATACATAATGATTCGAGGGGATCTAGATTGACAACATCTAACGGTAGCTATAACAAATACATTCATTTTGGAAAAAGACATGCGGGTCAGTGTTACCTTTTGATGGGATAATGTTTTTTGTGGGAACAACAAGGACACAAGGCAATAGATCATCCACAAAGATTAAGGACTAATTCTGGTGCAAGATAGTCGAGGCAGACTAAGGATAGATGACTGTAGGATCAAAAGCTTATAGTAAAAGATTAGCAAATAGAGCTAGTGTCATAGTTTTTATAGGTAGTCAGAGGGAGTTTGTTGCACTATGACTGACAAGACTGATAGCACCGATAGTACCTACTCTATGATACCACGAGTGTACAACTTATAGTATTTGGATGACCGATGATAACTTGAGAATTTGACAGGTAAGAAATTTATTTTAAATGATTAACTGATAAGAAATCTCATTGCATAAATGAATGATATATAATTGGATGAACTATATGATTGTATGATATACATTAACTACCTTCAATGAGTTTTATATTTGATTTTGACTTGATTTAAATATTGTATGGATTTATTTTGAAACGAATTTGTTTAATATTAATT